CGATCACAACGATCTGTGATTTTTAATTAACTTTTGGTAGTGAGGAATATTAATATATCGTTTATTCTCCTACAACTGATAGAATATCAATTCAAAGTACAAAAATTATCTTTAAGGACGAGTCCTTAAACCTCTCACGCTATTTCTTTTTTTTTTTTACATAGAATTGATATTTTTACACTGTTTTAAGCAATAAATTATTATGAAAACACTTTGTTTTCATTTCATATCTTTCACAACATGAAAATACAGTCATCCTAATTTCTCGTCTTTTTAATTGTATTCATACTAATCAGTAAACAGTATCAAACTTAAAGATATAATAATTTCTACGTTTAAGATCTTGAATTTTAATCCTGTTTATGCACACTCTGAAGCGAGTCATTGTCATCCCTTTGAACACACTTGAATTTAGTAATATCAAGTTTAAATAAAACAAGACCATAGTTCCCGAAATGAAATAAATTCATTTTATTTCAAGATTTCTTGTTAGCTAGAATTACCCTCAAATAAAAAAATTATAATATGGTTACTATAATGTTTTGAAACATTTTAGACAATGAGGTTAAAACGAATGTTCCCTATTTTACAGTAACTTATAAACACTAAAGAATGGCACATTGCACATATTGTGTGAAATTGATCCATATTTGTATGTTGAATATCATGTCATGTAAAGTAGAGCAGTTTACGGCTGATGAGAACCTGTGAACTAGAGTAACTTCAATTTATCCAACGAATCTTATTCTTTGTGCTTTGTTCAAATTTATTAATAGACTGTATAAAATTTTGGATTTCTCGATAATTATAGGTTACAACAGTAATCACTATTTCACTTAAACAAAGAATAACTCGAAAAAATACCAATAAACAAAGTAAGACTGAGTTAGTTTCATAATGATTCAAGAAATGAATATGTCGCCATCACTTGAAGTATTTCTGAAATTAAAACATGTATGTTCAGTACCTTAAACATTGAATCGTCAACGATTGAGTTACAAGCTCAAAATTAATTTATTCATTTGATACTGTACCTTGTCATTCAGTGGTGTGTGTTTACGACTTTGCATCTTTATTTTTACACCCGGTTGCGTACGTAATAGTCACAATGTGTATATGCACATTCTGTACGCTCATCATGTGATCCATTAGTTGTTGTTACAGAAGTTACTCTAAATACTACTTTCCTCAAGTTTGTGTTTTTTGATGTAAACATCTTTGCTCTTTTTATTACAAAAGTATACACCACCAAGTTATGAACTTAGTCACTGCTGTGCAACTGAGCTCCCTTTTAAGAGTGGTAAATGTTATGTCGAGCCTTGCTTGTCACATTATCATTTTTGTGGCCACAATGTGTGTCATATTTTTATGCAACCACCAATCAAGGTAATTTTTGTATTAACTGGCCTCCACTCAAAAGTTAGGAAAAGGCCTAAAAATACATTCGTTAATTACAAATCTTAAAAACGTGGATTAGACCTTGAAAACCTATTTGGATACAGTATGTAACGAAAGTTAGTTACATAGGTTATCAATATTTAGTGATCATCTACAGCTTATCCATTATTCAATAGACTTGCGCATTATTTGCTTTCAAGTGAAATATAATATGTCCATTTTCCATCCCAGTAATTACTTTTCTTACCGTAAATCCAAGATTATTTATTTAGCTTATCATTACTTTATCTTTTTTAGTATGTATATGGAATTGGTGGAGGAGCCGGTTGCCCAGCTCACAAATCTCGTTCATGTTACATTTGTCCACGTCAGTTGTTATTATGTCGCGTTGCTTTAGGACGGTCATTCATTCAGTTCAATGCCATGAAAGTAGCTCATGCACCCCCGGGCCACCATTCAATTGTTGGTCGACCAAGCGCAGGTGGACTCAATTTCTCTGAGTATGTCATATACAGAGGTGAACAAGCCTATCCTGAATATCTCATTACTTATTTGTTAGTCCCACCTGATCCAAATGATAATGAAAATATGACTGATCAAAATCTACCAAATCCTCTTACTCATAATACAAATATTGGACTTCTACCACCCACTAGTAACAGTGGCATCACTAGTACATCTAGTGTCGGTGTAGTTATAAACTCAGTACCCTGTTACACTGTGCCTTCAAACCAAAAAGATCTTGTAACGAGTGTCTGTGATTCATCTTGTGTACAAACGCCTGTTCAGTCTCTGAAACTGCCTGTTGCAAATACCGCTACTTCTGGTTCTCTGGCTACAAGTATAGCGTCGGCTGATAGACAGTTGTCAGATCCTGTTTCTTCTATTGCATCTACAACCCTAATCTCCTCTGCTCCAGGAGGTCCAAGTTGCCATTCAATCCCCTAATAATTTAATGTCTGTGGTCACTATACTTTCACATTATTTTATACTTTGCATTCTATAGTAGAGCCTTTTTGACTTAGACTACACTTAAACTATAGTTTATTTCTCGCTAGATTTAATTATTCTTTGCCTCTTCCCTCAAACCCCTTATATCTTTCACAAACATAAACACGTTCTTCTGTTTTGCAAAAGTGATTTAAAACCGGTCGGTTTCTGTACAAAGTACCTAATTTATTTAATAATTGACTTACATAACTTTGTATATTTGCATGAAACTAAAGAGCTTCATCCAGTAATGAAAATGATCACAAATGTGATTAAATTATCTACAGTAAAATGTTTACCATGCTTTTATAATAAAAATCTATTTCCCAATGATCACTTGAATGTCTGTCACTATTAATTAATAAAACTGTGCACATTTTTTGTCTCCTAATTTGAAAGTATGCTTATCTCCTTCTTCAGCTCATCTGTCTAAAACGTCGTCAAGATCATGACACATATCTTTAATAAATAGATAAAAGGAATTCAGCTGGTAATTTGATTTGTCAAGATATAGTCCACTCATCGCCAAAGGAATAGGATAAAATACTGATTTATGTTTAATATGCAGTTTGTTAATAGTTGTTATATATGTAGGTAGATAGTTGAAGTGATTCTTAGATTACCAGTCACCCGAATCCTTTAACTATATTTTAAAAGAAGTGAATCGCTCCCGGTAGTAATTGTTATGTCTTTTTGTCACTTAGTAATACTAACTGATAAGTCTACTGAATGACCACTGCTTCTAATAACTCCCTGGCTCAATGTACACGGCAACGTAAGAGAAAATGTGAGAAGTTCGAAAAGAACACTTTATCCCAAGGATAGTTTATGTACTGAAAAACGAGGCTATTTAGAGTTACACACGATCTTAGACTTCTGGAATTTTCTGGGACCATACGAAATGTAGTGGTAGTATATGTAGATATTCAGTCAGAAACGTGACTTTTTTCTAGATGTTTCCAAAATGCTTTTATTCGACGCCTGCAAGCGTTTTCTGGGCCCATATGGACTTTTCCGAAAGGTCAATAGTGTAACCTCTGTATGGGTAGTAGGCTAGCAGGTAATTTAGTTTGTTGATTAAGTGTTAATTTATAGTCTTTCAAACTTGTGTGGAAAGTTATATAGAGCGTAATTCTGGCTAACATGACTTAATATACGACAAATAGTTATCCGTTTAGTTGTAAGACTTCATGATACGATAAGAATTCAAAGGAGTTATTCGATACCTCTGATAGACCGTGTAACCATAATCAGTCTTAGAAGGACTAAAAAACTAGCGTGCTGTGCAAAACTACTGTTCGGAATAAATTTTAAGGTCAGTCAGTCAGCTACAACGTAGGACCAGGCACATATATGCATCAGTCCAAGCTGCCATACGTCATTAGCAGGAGTGGATGTTGACCAACGGTCTTCCTAACCATTGTTTGGTATCGAATATCTGTTTGATTCTATCATAGCTTAACTCACCAGTATTTTACTTGAAATTAGTCCGTGTGATTTATATCAGTATTTAACGTTTAAATGAAGCTTTTTGTAAACATAAGTACAATTCGGTTGTCATTTACTAAATCACATACTGTGGAAACCCGACTGATAAAGAATATCGCCTAATTGCTCCACATATTATTGATATTCTGTCAACCTCTGTAACGATAGTTGGTGTATTGTCAGCACATTTATAGAAAATTTGAGACCTGTCGAGCAAGATTTCATTCCTTTACAGAATATTATGTCAGTATGATATGAAGCAGTTTCGGTACGCCTTAATTCTTGACGTATGGTTGTTAAAAGTAATCTACTCAAAGGAAAACTAATAATATTCACTCATGAGCGTTTTGTTAACATTACATTTTGGCAGATGGACCATATTTTGAGTAGTGCTGGACTCAGATTAAGGCTTTCCGAATAAATATAGAAGCACTCTATAAGGTTGAGGAAAGAATGGTCATATAGTGACACTGTACTACTTTATAATGGTACTAACTCTCAAAATGAACTGTGTATGTTTTCAGGTTGTAAGTTTTTAAGCAAGGGATTATTGAATTTTTCGGTGTTACCATAGCCGTGTTTTTATTTCAGCTAATTTCCTTTTATTTTAATTTTCCTTTTTAATAAATTTGTGTTCTCCCCGTATTTTGAGTAAAATATTTTCTCAAAGGACTTTCCTCAGGTATGAGATAAATGTCAAAGATAAAAGGACAATTAAATTAAAAACACTATCACATTTGTATTCTTTTGTAAGAATTAAATGGATTAAGTTTATTTTGTATTGTTTGTTTGGATCTTCTCACTGACGTTTAGGACTGAGGTTAATCAGTCTCCTATTGGCGTATGTCCATCTTGTGCAGATTACCTTGACGTTGCCTTAAGTCACAAGCATTATAAGGAGAGATGGATGCTGACTAGAAGTGGAATCCAAGATGGGCGTTTCGTCCCTGAGTTGGTGTTTTCTTTTGGACTCGAACTAAGTTCATATATCTATGAGCAATAGTAATCATAATCAAGTGCGTATACAATTATTCCAATTACTTTCCCCATAGACACAGTATACAAGAAAAACTCGCACTTCCACTGTTAAGTACAGTAGTAAGAAATAATAAAAGCAAATTAAATTCAACACATAAAAGATTATATTAAGTTCATTTTAGTAAAAAAAGAAACCAGTAAGCACAGTTTTTTCTAATGTATCAATTCCAAAAAAAACATATATTATGATCTTCATATCTGTGATAGAATCTTACTAGCTGTCGTCTATTATTTTGTTTATCCACGTACGCACTTCACTCACTGTAGCAGTTAGGTTATCTTCGAATTTCTACTTATGTTAGAATTTTTTAAAATGAAATAAAAATTTCGGAAAAAGTGAATTGTGATTTTTGGATTATATATATATATATATATATATATATATATATATATATATATATATATATATATATATATATATATATATATATATCAAAAATATATAAACTTATCAAATCAGTTAGATTTCGCTTGTCTTTCACTTCATTAATTCCGTATGATTGTGACATAACAATTATTAATAGTGTTTTTCAGTGACGTTTATTGTCAGGTAGTCTTATTATTTATCCACTTTGCTACTTGTCTAGATTTTAGCTCAGCTTTTTCATTTTAATAGCTTAAAATATCCCGTCTGAGTCTTTTTTCTACATGATTGGTAATATGACCGTGCAAAATCTATAATCTTATTTAAATGATCAAAATCAATAAGTATCCTGATGGTGGTAAAACTTTTGACCACAGAAAGAGCTTTTATGAATTACAGAGATCTCCTAACTTAAGATTATCGTAATTAATTATTTCCTGTTTTCAATAAGTCAACCGGAATCTTATCTGAATTAAGTTTTCAGGAATAACGCTAAGAAACTATAGCTAATCCTAAATGATTCAGTTGACCTCACTAGCACATTTTTACTTCAGTCTTGCATTTGATGTGTTACTAAACGAGAAAAAGACTGAACCATATCAATAAGAACACAAAATATTTCTTAACGTTTTTCTATTTTCTAACTTTGATCTTATCTCTGAAGCCACAAAATATATAGAAAAAAGCAACCGGCTAATAGGAATGGTTTGGGATTTCAGAGTAAATATGGCGTTGTCCAACAAATACCTGTCATACGACAATCGATTGAATCTAAGTCTAAGTAAATGTGGCTCCTAATTTAACATGTCGATCAAGTCGTTAAACGTTGACAATGCTGACATGTTGGATATTTAATTGTGATGATAAATGCGTCTCAGTGATGCTTTGTGAAGACTAATGCAACTACAGAAAACCGGTAATGAAACGAATTTTCTCTATTAAACTGGATACGATAAATGTTCTCTCCATAAAATACTATTGAAAATCAAACATACATTGGAAACCGATGTCTCAAAGTGCATATAATAAGCTTCTTATTTTACAGAAAAGAAAGACTAGTGAAGAAAGTAAATTCTTATGTGTTCATACTAATATTTCTCAACAGCTGTTTGAGGAAATGAGCTGAAAAAAATATATACATCTAGGTACATTGTATATCATTCCCCTTCACCAGTTTGACTTAACAAATCATTTTATTATGAGTACTTCGGATTCAAAATCCATTAGCTTTATAACAATATCCTTTCTATAATAAACGTGTATATTGAAGATTTAGTACTATCTTATGCACTAATTCCATACAACATAAGTCAATCAGTAAGTGACAACTAATTACACAAACGAAGTAGAATGATTTATCACCAGTGAAAGTAAGCGAGTACAAACCGTCATCCATAAAAAAAATATATCAATACTAAATAAAATCAGAAATTTATTCTATCAATGATTTCATTATAATTTTATTCGGATTTCACATTGTGTAACTGTTCTGTACTTTGTATCAACAGACTGTAATTCTAACCTATTATTTAGTTTTAATATAGTCAGTCAGATATTATTTGAATGTGTCTATACATATATCACATGACTGTATCATCTAACATTTAGGCAATAGTTTAAAAATCCCCATAGAATATTCAAAAATTAAGAATATTTGAGCGAATAATTGTTTTCAATAACTTCATCATCAGGCTCTACAGTTATAAGTCCATAATTATTGTGATATTTTACACGCCGACTCAAAAGATCGGTCGAAAGGACGTTTCATGCTGTCAAGTTACACATAATCTTCTCGACTAAACCAGTACTCACACAACTAATCAAGGATAGGTTACCGAAGATGGGCTCCTCCATGTGTGTATACCAATTCAACTGCTCCTGTGGAGCTAGTTACATAGGCCGTACTCAGAGGGCTTTATCCTTGCGTGTTCGTGAACATGTGCCGGCATGGTTGGGAAAAGGAGTTACTAAATCTATTAACAGTGCTATTCTTTCACACTTGGTAGATAATGAACATCATATCAAAATAGAGGAAGCTTTCTCTGTTTTATATCAAGTTCCAAAATATCTACCTCAAGGAGCTAGATTACGTCTACTTTACATAGCCGAAGCCATCTGGATTAACTCTAGAAGACCTAATTTATGTATCCAGAAAAAATATATCCAGCCTCTATGTTTACCTTGGCCTACGACTGGATCACTGAATACCTAGTCTGAATATTTTAAACCTCTTACCCCCTTCCTCTAATTTTATTTATTTTCCTTATTATCATTAATTTTGATTATCCCTATCTTAATCTTCACATCTATCATTCCCAATTCGTTGATCGTAGTTACCTTGATAACACCCCCTACCCCCTTATTACATATTATATTCACACCACAATCTTATTATTATTAGTATCTCAATTGACAAGATGAAATTCTCTTACTATGCATTCTATTCACACAATTTTGTTTTTCGATGTTGCTATAATACTATTCTACTTATTTCGATTGAACACTTTACTCCAAATCAGCTTGACCTTTATTGAATGACCTTTCTCATTTGCAAATAATACTATATCGTAACAGATGCAAAAGTGCACCAATTTTTTAACACATAACATTGTCAAATTTCATTAATACATGCCTTATTTTTGGCCTTTGTAAAATATCACAATAATTATGGACTTATAACTGTAGAGCCTGATGATGAAGTTATTGAAAACAATTGTTCGCTCAAATATTCTTAATTTAGGCAATACTATCTTATAATTACACATTTTATTGTGATAAATAGGTCTATAATAATAATAAGGAATTTCACTCAATAAATTTCCTTACATTATAGTTCCATTTTAATTAAGGGCTTAATGATAAAAAAACAATCTTAATTTGACATTTCATTAAATCATATTGTTTCTACTTTAGTTTCATTCAGTCATATTGAACACATTTTTTTTATATTTTTATCTATTGAAGAATATTCATGAATACTCATTAATACATTTATTATAGAATAATTATTTTTATTATGAAAAATAATCAAACATCTGAAGTATGAACAGTGATCAATTAGATGGTAATGAAATATTAACTAACTAATAATAAATCAATTAAATTATTGAAATGAATCTAAAATATTAATTGTTAATATGATTAAAAGAGATTGATCGATAATTATAAAGTTTAATTGAAAGATAGTTTTTAAATTAGATAAAAATTAAGTGAATGTTAGCAATATGTTATTATTTTGTTTGATGAAGAAGAACCTTAATAGATATTTAGTCTTCATTTCTTTTTTAATATTTATATTGACAGTCGTCTTCTCTTATATATTTCTTCTTTTGTATAAGGTCTTAATCTTTAATTAAATATTTGTGACCTGATGGAAATAATGAAGCTGTCAGTTAAGGATCCACATATTCCAAGACAGACTAATGAGAACTCAAACCTTAACATCAGAAACAGGAGGATTTACACAAATAAGAAATAAAATTCATCTCTGTCTCACACGTCCTTGACTCATCATCTGGATGTACTTGAATCTTAGTGTCGATTTTTATTAAAACACTGATTTGCGACCCTTAACGTCAATAACAAGAAGATTCAAACACTGTGTCTGTCTAAACTCAGTAGATAACAGGATAACATATTAGAATTTAAGATCAAAGATACTGTGTTTGAGTCCTGGTTTGACTTAAACACTGAGATGCATGTACATCCTTGATCCCGTTGCCACTTATGAGCCGTGTTTATTAAAATGTGTCGCTGTAATCCTTAATAATTCGTTTACATTTTCATATAATTAACCTTCTAAGATGTATGCTTATGTATGATTGTATATAGGTGCTAGCCTACATATTTCGCTGATGCAATCCCTTAAACCACCTGTATACATACTTAACTGACAGTGAATCATCCGCCTACATATTTATTTCCATGGTAAATACTGATGCCTTGATTCCTCTCTCATTGATTGTTAGCTGGTAGCATCACCTGAGTTATGTGCCCGAAATAAACTATTCCAACTAAATTCTTCAGAGACTAGAAGAGCATATATCATTGATCATGATCGTAATAAGTTATCCTGTGGGACTGTTTACACAGTATGAGAATAAACACTCAAATACCCACTACTTATCCAACTCGAAAAAACCTTGTTGTAATGAAGTTCATCACTGTTGTTCCTACGATGTATGGGCGATAGGGTTGATGGTTCTACAAATAATGTCTGACTTCTATCACCTGGCAGATTGTTTAGCAGAAGACATCAGCCACTATTCAAAATTTATCATTATGACTAAATTATCAACGACTTACAGCTGACGAAAATTCCAAGTTAATTTTCAATGCATAATTAAAACTACCACGAACAAATGAGGTTGTCAGATTTTGTAACTTGGTAAGGTACATTGAAGTGCCTTTCCTTATTACAAATCAGAAACCTGGTTTCTCTATTTTGGAAATATAGTAAGGGATAAACAAAAAAGCACTTATATTGAATAAAGTTTATAACAAGTATTTGTCCGGCACATACTAACTTACCGGTAGTTCTGGTGGGTTATTAATCTCATTAAATAGGGTTCTAAATGAAGGTGCGTAATCAAGTGATTTTATATAACATTTAGGAGCATATTGTACTGAAGTGATAAAGTCTGTACTCTGTACCTGATTAACCAAAGAACAAACTTCGTTCTCTATGGAAGAACAACTGTGAACTAAATCACGATTTGGTGTTAAGGCCACTGGTGCTGATATCCAATGAGCTGGAGGGGTATCAATGCAACTCTAGTAAAATAAGCAAAAATCAATTTTTTCAGCAAACTCATAAACTTTGTACCACATACACAAATCAGCTTAGGTTACTTTTGTTTGTCCCAAAGTTTATTATTTGTTCTTAATATTGAGTGGGTAGTATGAAATCAGGTTTCAAAACAGTTGTTTCCTATTATATATATTTTTTAAAATGGTCTAAACGTTATCATATCAAACAAATTAGTTAGAACATTAATTTTTTACTGTAGAGAATTCAAACAAAAAGGTAATCGAAAAACGTTCGGTAAGAAACTGAACACTGTATCTCATGTTATAAGTATTACTATGCTTTATTAATTGTTTACACTACTGTTAACTGAGTGGAAAGAACCGAAACATAGTACGGCGCTGTTGACACATTATTATTACCATAAAATTCTGTTTTGACTTATCAATCTTCATCTGAAATAAAAATGCGATAATTGCTGTACTAATTAAATTCATTCATCTTTGCTATGTTAAGAAGGACTTTATAAATTTATTTAAACAATTCTTGATAAAATAACTAAATATCTGAAACTGAATTCATAATATGATTCACGTTGTTTAGGTCACAGGTGTACTATATTTTGAGTAAGAAAATCCAGTTATATGGTTTTATGTTGTTAATGAACTGAAAGTAAAAGTAATATTTGAATAGTAAAAAACTCATCAGAAGTTGTTGATAGAATTCTACTAACTTTAAGCATAATGTACAGTCATCTAGGTTTTGTAACTGAATAAAAGAAACTTAAATTATTACTTACATGGTGTTTCTTCATGAAATTTTTAGTCCTTAGCAGAAGATTTGGGGTTACTTGTTTTTGTATATCAGAAGAATAGTGCTTTTTAATCTCATCGTTTTCACTAAAACCAGTTAGACTTTTTCGAGACCATTCACTACTAAAAAGATGAAGGTAAATGAGTAAGTAAACTAAACTGTAATTACTTTCGTATGAACTTTAGTGATATTAATGCTTCTTCAGTTTCTTAAGAGCTCCAGCATTTTAGTCAAGGAATATGCAATATTATCCTTTAAGAAATGAAAAATGTCTAGATATTTAAAAGGAAGGAGAAAGTAGCGGAAATGTCATTTCCAATGAACTCGTTTTCTGCTGGAATGATAGCAGTTTAAAACAGATGTGATCTACAGTTTCTAAACAGTTTTCAGTCATACGGTCAAAGTTCACCAGGTAGTTTAAATCAATTCATGAAAGATTGGAACGTTTTGCGCAATGCAGAGAAGAATTCATGGGAGCATAAGGCGAAAATAATTAGTGAGAATCGCAGGAGTCCAAATAAATCATCTTTGTCCATCTAAGGATTAAGTCATTTAAAGTTTAAGTTGCTACCATATATGGTAGAAATATTTATAATCCCTATCAGTATCTAAACATCAACTGGATTTTTTGGTAGACGTCTCTTTCTCGATAGTTCTTACTTAACATAATCATCCCCTTACTCGTCTTCTGTTTTTTCTCCCTCTTGATTACTCTCTAAAATAAATAACTCTATATAATCTCCCATAAATAAATATGTTATCTTTTTGTGTCATTAATGAGTAAAAATCGACTAAGAACTATTCGTAATATTATTTTAAAACTAAAAAGCTTTCAGAAAACTGTACGCGAAGCGTCAGTAATAAAAGCCATTCTCCCAACAGAGACTGATACATTATTTATGAACTTCAGAATCCTGAATTGTATAAACTACAATAAACCCTATTTGATTGGCCGATAATAGTGTGAAATTACTTCTCATCCCTATACTGACTGTATATCAAACGAACATATAGTAATAGGTAATTTTTTAGGGTCTTATGAAACAGTCTTCAATTGCCACCTCTACATTAAAACATAAAGTATGATATCTATGAAACAAGTGGTAAGATAACTTCTTTTTGTGCACCATGAATATATGTTAAGGCCAATTTCATAAAATTTGTAAGACTTGGAATGATCCACATAAAATATACGCCACGCGAAATCATTCAAAATATTTGTAAATGCGGTTGGGAATGAGGTCTTTTTAAATTATTTTAGGGACTTCATATTAAAGTCTTGGGTGATCGCGTTTTGATTCTAAACCAGTCTGTTTTTCAGGCAACTTGTGGAACTTAACCGAAACCCAAAGAATCTCTCTTGAATTTGCTCGAAAATGAATTTATCGTATTTTAGGATTCAAGGATAAAAGTAAACTAAGTTTTGGAAGATTTCAAATTATTTTAACTTCAGTTCAACTTGTTGACTGTTTAGTTTTTTCTCAAATTTAAGAATCTAGTCATAATTCACAAATGGGGCTAATAGATTAGTTAACTGACAACACTGAATCAATTCTTGGACCATCTAATATTGACTGAATTTTATTTGCTAATGACAGAGAATAAACTTCACTATTTAAATATCTGTGTACGTGAAATATCAGTCACTGACATTATTGATTTTATGTGTACAATTTGATATGTCATAACCGAGATTTTATTTATCATATCTAAATCTAGAGTACGTATTATTTGTCGCTGCAAGCAAAATTATCCCTAATTCTTCCAGACCAGGTCAAGACTGTTCACAGTCGCTTATTTTTAACAAACTAATGTTAAACCCGATTATTGCTTAGGCGAATGTAACTTTCAGGGAAAAATGATGCACATAAATATCTTGATTGAAAATATTTTGAGATTTTATGTGTGAACTCCACCTGGTACAGAACATACATTCGTGTAGCTTTCAAATAAAAACTGCCTAACTATAATATACGCTCTGCATATAACTGCAGTGTCAGAAAAACAGTTCACTTTGTTTTTTCTTGAATATCATTCGTGGCCGTATCGAAAACTATTTAGTTTCTAAAAATACTCAATCAAAAATAAAATGTTAAAAATAACTTTGGAAACTAGACTTTTTTGAAAGATCCTGTTTACTTTGGTTTAAAGATTAAATTCAATCATAAACAAAGAGAATCTTGGCATATATATGTATCAATTCAACCTATAGTATAGTCAAAATTTGGAGAAAAATATTCAAGAAAATTGCAGTAGTAATGAAAATCTGAATGTAGGAAGTATAATTCCAAAAGAAATCACTAATACTGATAATAAAAAACTGTAGTTAGAATCAAGCAAAAAAGATATTACTAGTCCACCCAAGTCCATTTATTTGACCCACGTTAGCCATGGTCTTCAAATATAAATAACAGTTATTTTCTGAATTACTACCAAGATGTTTGAAATTTCTAACACGGTTGAACCCAACAACAATTAACTTCATGTAGTAACTCAGGACAATGTGTCCCTGTGATAACTAGCTCAACATCCATCCGTCAGTGTAGGCAGAGAAAAAACACTCCATGTAGTAAATGCAATTTGTAACTACACCGCCTTAATTACGTAGTCCGTTGAAACTTGGAGTAATATCATCTGATGCCATGTTCTAACAATTTCACTTGTCACATCTGCAAGTCTTAGATGTTTTCAGTAGTTTAAATTAATCTCCGAAACTCTTTAGAACCTGAGTGGTGTTTATCTAGAATGAATTTTTTGAAATCTAATTGTTTTATACAGCAGCAATGATTTTTTATTTTATTTACACCAAATTTTGACTTTCAAAGCCAAATTTTTTCATATTTAGAGGGAAATCATATCATTACAGATTTACTCTCTTAGCTAATCACTTACGCCTGTTGCCACTCAAAGCATATACACTACCAATCACGATTCTCCAGTCAAATCTGTTCTGGGCTCTACTTTAAAGTAGTCCCCAAGTGCTATTCGTTCTTTATGTATCTGCCCCAAGTTAACGGTGTAATGTGTTCTATGGTCTGCCACTTTTCACATCGCCTGGCGGATTCCAAGTTAGGGTTTGTCTTGTGATGCAGCTTGATGATTGCCACTAAGAATATCCTATCCACCACCAACGTCTTTCTTTTATTTCCTCCTCATCGAGAAGCTAGTTTGTTCTCTGCCACAGGTCACTGCTGATGGTGTTTGCTCAACGGTTTTGAAGTATCTTTTGTAAACAGATGTTTGCAAATATCCGTACTTTTTGACGACGGTTAAGGTAGTTTTTCACGTTTCTTCTCCGTAAAGTAGAACTGTCTTGACGTTTGCATCCAAGATTCTGACTTCGATGTTGGCTGACAGTTATTTTGAGTCCCATATGTTCTCAAGTTATAGGAATGCTGTTCATGATTTGTCCATCCTTGCCCTTACATTTGCATCAGATCCCCCTTGTTTATCAATGACGCTGCCCATGTACGTAAAACTTTGCACTTATTCCAGAGCTTCTCTATCAATCGTGATTGCGTTGGTGCTCTGTGTGGCATTCCGAGATCTTGAATTTCCCCTTGTGTATTTGGGGCTGCTGCTACACTATTTTCGCATGCCTTTGTTGCTACGTATGGAACAGAATAGTTAGTTCATTTTTGAAATTCAAATCACTCAGTTGAATCTAAGATTATATTATATTATATTCAGTGCTTCTCATGGGATGTGGAGGTCTTCATAATTCAGACAATCACCAAAATAGAAGGAAATGAGAAGAGTGAAGAGACTGGTCTGACGCTACTTTCTACTTGAAAAACATCTGTGGGTCCTCCTCCATGCACAAAATGTTAGTGTAGTCCGTCGTATGAATCCCATATGGTGTTGACAATCTCAAATACATCATAGTGTCGAAGAAGATTACTTGAGGTTCTCCTATTTACGCTGTAAAGCGCTTTCTCATATTCAAAGAAGCTGATATATAGTGATGATTTCCATTCGATTACTTGCTCAACAATTATCCGTAGCTATGTGATTTGGTCGACATATGATCGATCTTTAAGAAATCAAGATCTTTGATTTTGAAGTTGGGCGTCTACTGAATCTTCCACTAGGTTTGAGAACACTCTCTTGATTGTAGTGTGGTGCCTCTGTAGTTTTCACACCTACTAAGATTTCCTATCTTCTGTATCCTGATAAGGTAGGCCTGCTTCCAGTTTGTTGTTACTTATTTTTCTTCTCAAATCTTTCTGACGAAAATATGGGGCATTTGAGCGGTAACCTCTATGCGCGAGTTCAATTATTTTGCTGGTTTCCACTCTGGTTATTTTGCTTTTCCAATCTTTGTTTGTCCAGTGGTGGTCTTCCCTGACTTACAAGCAGCATTTGACTCTGTGGACCGAGAGGTTCTGCAGCAGTGTCTGTCATTGAAAGGCGTACCTCAGAAGTACATAAACCCTGTGAAGGCTCTTTACTCGAACACTACTAGTCGAGTCAGACCTTATGGCGAACTGTCATCTGCTTTTGAAACCTCAAGTGGCGTCCGTCAAGGCTGTCCACTTTCTCCATTTTTGTTTAACTTCATCATAGATCTACTGATGGAAATAACGACCTCATCGACTGAATTTTCAGGAATTGATCTCCTACCAGGAGGTCCACTTATCGACTGGGAATCCACAGATGAGAAAGTCCTGTTAGGTGAAGACGCTGATAAAATGCAGTCTTTTGGTAGCATTACGCAACAATTCCAGGACGTCTAGAATGCGTTCCTCACCCCCCCGCCCCCTCTAAATGCAAGTTGTTGCTTCATGACTGGCCTGCGTCAACACCTAAACTAAGGATAGGGAGTGAAGTAGTCGAACGCGCTGACAACTCCACTTATCTTGGAAGTCTGATCAGCCCTAATGAGTTGGTGTGTGACGAAATCTCAGCATGGATTAAAAAAGTTCACATTTGCCAAGTTACGTCACCTATGGTGAAGGCGAGATGTCCGTCTATCAATTAAGGGACGAGTATACTGCGCAGCAGTTCGTTCTGTTCTGCTTTACGGCTGCGAAACATGGCCATTAAGAGTAGAATATACTCGTAAGCTGCTAATATTTGGTCACAAATGCCTTAGAAATGTTGTTCACATCTGCTGGGATTACCGAGTAAGTAATAGTGAAGTTAGACGCAAGGTAGTAGGGAATGATGGTAAATCAGTTGATGAGGTTACGAATCTTCATCAACTGAGATGGTTGAACCACGTGTCGCGTATACCTGAACACCGATTACCACGACGCGCAATGCTAAACGGTGTTGGGGATAGTTGGAGGAAAGTTAAGAGCGGCCAAGCCAAAATATGGCATCAGTCCACAAAGTCACTAACTTCTGGTCTGAGCCATGTTGGTAAATGCAGACTACTTAGTTGGGGTCCGTGTGACTGTCATAACCAATGGTTGGAGACTCTTGGTGACATGGCTCAGAATCGATCACAATGGCGTAGGTGTATACACTCTCTGTCTTCCTTTAAACTATGAGATTAAAATCGCTTCATATCTTTCTTTCTACCAACTAATTCTTTCTTCCTGTACTATGCCCTTATATGCAATCTTTCTTCTATATATTACCATCATTGAATTAACTACTATTATGAATTCGGTGTTCATCTTGTTGTGCTAATGCAATATGGCAACTTGGACCGATGGATGTATGTGCCTGGTCCTACGTTGTAGCTGACTGACTGACTGTCCGATGAATTCATTTGGGCTGGTCTATTCAAGAGCTCTTCAAATTATACTCCATACCTATTCCGCTGCACTTGAATCTCAGTGCTTAGGTAGTAGCCTTTTTTCCAACAGGTCTCTTTACTTCACTATATTTTCCTGCAAGCTTTTTCGTCGTGTCATATTGTTTTTATATACTTCACCCTCTTGCAGATTTTTCTACTATTGTTGCTCAGTCCTCAGCATATTTCCACTTATCGTCTTTGATGCACTTTTCATTCTCTCGTTTGCTTCTGTGTATACAGCCCGCATCTTGGCTTTCTCTAGGCTAACTCGAGTGTTACTGTTTTCTGTCTTCTTATTCTTCTCATCTTGAATCATACTTAGAGTATTGATAAAAATCCACTCTTTAATCTGATGCTTCTTAAGGTCTACCACCTTTTGGTATGCTGATGTTATTGGTTCTTTTATCGGTTTCTCCTTTTTTCTTCATAATTGTTTTCCTTTTTTTAATAGAACTTGTAAAACCTGAGACTTAGTGCTGAGAGCTATCTTGAATTCGCTGAGCTTGTTAGCACCCTTTCTAAAACTGTCTAGTTCTTTTTTAGCCTTAGTTTCATATAGGCCACAACCAGGTAATAACCTAAATTTATATCAACTCCTCTCTTCATTTTTATGTTAGCTAAGGACTTTTAGGATGTTTTGTCGACTTACATGTTATCAATCCGTTTCTCTAGTGTTACCCTGTGAAACCCATGTAGCTTTGTGCATAAGTTAGTGTCAATTCGGACCTTACTGTTTAGATCTTCCATCGAAATAGTCATGTCCAACCCCGACCATTTTTCTGCGATCAACTGCAGTCTTTGATAAAATTGATACTAGTCGTCTTCCTCACTTTCATTGGTAGAGGCATAACAGTGAATGACATCCAATATAATCCCCTCCTTTTATCAAAAAATGCTTTAGTGATTCTTAATCCAAGAGATTTCCATTCTATAAATGCCTTTATTGCATATTTGAATAACATTAGCGCAGCTTCTTGTGTGTGCAAAGCACTTCCTTCTTCATGACTAGCATACCATAGCACTTGCCTCGAAGCTAATCTTTTCCGCCCAACTTGCTTACAATAGGTTTCTTTTATTCCGAGCATCTCCAAACTTTATCTTTTCATTTATGCAACTATTAATATGGTCTTGCTGGTATTTCACATTGTTCAAAAATCCCATAAACTTAAATTATTAGTTGCTCTGATCAATACACGGGCCAACAATCTCGTGGATTCTAAATAATCCTGGGTTTCATGATGAGACATAACAGTTCTTTTAAATAAAAACCGTTTAGCGTTTGGAGTGAAAATTAAACGGTTCAAACCAATTTTTGGTTAGCGTTTTCTAGCAAGGATTTTTCCTGTAGGATGGGATTGCTAATGTTGTGCCCCTCCTTCCACTATTATACGGGCTTGTGACCAGCATTAACTTTGGGAAGGCCCTAGAAAGAGTATAATTTATTCATCAATGACTCTTTGGTTAAAATATAGTCTTCTTCCCTAAAAACTCGAAATGGAAGTTCAATCAAACGTTAAGAATATTAATAATTCAGTATTGACAGTTTTTATTATTAAAATGAGCTAACCTTTCAATGCTTCCCAAACAACCATACCGCGTTTTCAGTTTACAAGCACCATAATTTTCTACACATTGAAATATACAAACCTTTCTATAGATTCTTTATTCTCATGACAATTCATATCTAATAAAGACATTTGTGCTACCATAGTTTGTGACAAGTTTTGAAAAGTATGAAAAATTCAAGCAGATGGCTAAATGGTGATATGATGAGATATCTAGTTTTCACGAAATCAGGAATTTTACATAAAAGAAAACCGATTCCATAGTTAATGGTTCATTTGCAATAAACGTAACTCCATGCATTAATACACTTCCAAAAGGAAAATTTTTGAGTTGCCTTTAAAAACCAAGTGATTGTAGTTCTAACCACAAACATAAGAGTCCATAATTTTCCGTTCCCTATGGTGCAGTATACTTGCTAAAACCCGTCGTAATTTGGGTATGATTTATGGTGTAACAACTACTTACCACATCAAGAAACCGTAAAATAGTCATATTATAGATGATCTTACCTGTTAGTTAATTTATTCATCTCCGCACTTATCGATAAATATTACCAACACTGATTCACAATAAAACAGTAAAGGGTAGAGAACAAGTTACGAATCACCATATAAGAATGTGTAGAAATAATTTGGTAGAAACGTTTTGGAGGATAATTAAGTTACGGTAGAAACACACTAACTAGATGTGTATTTATGTCGACAAAACTCTTTATTGCATTCAAATTTGGTGTATTAAAGAATTATGCCCCGATGAAAAACATAATGAGATGGTAAAGTGTAAAATAACAAAGTCTTTGATGAGCTATTTGCTTGATATTTGATCTCGAATAAAGTTGGCTAGGTATATATGATATTGTATTGCATCTACAATGTCTTTACTCTATCCCGTTTTCAGGCGGACAAATGTCCGAAATCGATCTGAAATTTTCCAAAATTTACAGGCTTAAAAAAATACTTCGATATAAATTTATTCCTTTTCGAGTGTCTTTAAAAGTCACATGAGATTAAGTATTCAAGGAAAACAAAGTAACACAACACAGTTATTTTACAAACTCCCGGGAAATAAGAATTGTTAACAACTGATGTCATCAAGCATTAAAGATTATCATTAATGCAGGTATGAAAGTGAAACGTTAGTCACTGCATTCGCTTATAATGAGGAAAAAAGTGGTTGACTAGATTATAGGTTCCTTTCCTTCAAAAAATTAATTTTTACGCATACTTTTACCAAGCATTTTTGTTTTTTGAACAGATCTAAATAGATCAGTAAGTGACAAAATTTGATAAACACTCAGATTCTCATACGGTTTATTATCTTTACCACCAAAACATCAATCAATAGCAAAGATGTGTAAAATGATGAAAGAAAAATGTCATTTGTTGAACTACATCAGCAACGGATACTTAGAAAGTGGCAACTACTCATGAATGAAGTAATAACAGGTTTGTAAAGGTGATTTGTACTAGATTTACTCGTTGTCACCGGATACCGACTTCTAACACCAAGAAAACACTTGTCATGTAAGCTATGATCTCCATATGATTTTGACGAAAAGTTTTAACTTTATTTAAACTTCATGCATCATTCTGGCTAACATCTGATCGCTTTCAAGGCTCTTTATACCACCAAGCATTTGATATACAGAAACATTCAAAATTAACATCACTGAATACTCAAACATATATGCAAAATGTTTGGCTAAATGAGGATCTATTCTTTACAGCTTGAAAAAGATGGACAGTTAGCTGTTGGAACAAGTTCAGAAAATTGCGCCTAATTTGATTCCACAAATAGCAAAGCTCCCATATGACGATCAACTGGCAAAGCCAAACTTACTTCCATTGTCATATTGAAGTACCAGAGGTGACTTGATCACAATTTTCAAACTACTTAATCATAAATTTGTATTTGAAATGCCTTCACTATTTTTGTCTTTTGAAACAGATTTTACATGAAAAAAAGTTCACATACCCAAAACTAATTACTTATCAACTGACTATCGACTTTCCCGTAGAATAATGAACGAATGGAATTCATTAACTCAACACGTAATTAAACCTCCATCTATCGATGCTCTCATAAGAGGGTTAGATGAACTGGGAGATTATCGTCTACAGAACCGACACCAGACAACTAGCATCCTGTCTTTCCAAACTGAAATGAGAACTTCTTAAGAGGTAAAGATATCGTAATTAACAAATGTACACGTTATCAGTTACAAAGAAATATACTTTCATGTATGAGTGCAGGCAATTACTACTACACCTGTAAAGGTTGCGATTGTACCCGATAAAAGCTTATAAACCAAAGGAATAATAAAGTACCCGGGTAAAATATCTATTTTAGAACCATTTCGTTGTAAAATCCTGTAAGTTATATTTAAAAAAGTAAAAGCCTTTAGAAAAATTGACCTCATAATTCATTGAAAACATAAGAATATGATGACTGAATGCCTACCTTTCAGGAATTTGGCTAATGGAAATCTCTGGTATTCCTTTCAATTTCGAAATATTATGATACGTCGTATCATCAGAATTATCAAATAAACTTGAGCGATGGTCAAAGGAAGTGTCACTAGAGTCTACTAGATCAAAGCCACTATTGTCAGCCAGTGAACTCTTATAAGACGGTGAATCTAAGCGTTTGAAAAAATCTGTAAAACTCACATATAGGACTAAACTTTAGTTGGGAAACATCAGTGATATTAACACCATCGCCGGCATTGAGTGTGGAGTTCTTGATATCTGGAGAAACTTGGTGAAATGAATCAGCCAAATGTTTTTTTACATACGAGGAAACTGATACACATCTCGAAATAGAGAATCATTATTGTCAGATTTACCTAAAACTAGTTATAAAAATCAGTACTTACATAAACCTCTTCGTATTTCCGGACTACAGTTCAAGTCTTGGTCATCATAATCATCTTAAAATCAGAAAATGTGGCGATTAAATCTAAGCTTACTGTTCATGGCCAAAAAGTTCACTGACTACACGATAACAAATACATTATTTAGGTTTCGCCCTCATAGCGTCTTTTAGTAGTTGATACATCATAACGAGAAATATTTGATGATATGATAATGTTAAATAACTAAAATATTCGAACACTTCCATCTTCATTAATTAACAATTATGGCTTTATCACTGAAAGAATGAGCGGATGGAATTTGTGCGGATGTAGAACACTAAACTTTATAAATACAGAGTTTAGCAGCCCATTGTTTGTTCGATGGCCCAATAACTTATAAATTTTTAATGTGGCCGAATTCGCTTTTAGCTAACTTTAGACTTTCGGAAGCTAATCGGTGTGATGTTTCACATTGCAGGTTACACACGTAAGGTCTGGTTACGTTGGGGAAGATTTGTAGCTCAGGTGGATGATTTTCATGGAGTTTTGTTCTCTGAGATGGATGGTTTGGCCCACCCATCTCAGAGAACAAAACTCCATCAAAAGGTTTGATTACGTTTGGTATAATCCGAGGTACTTTTGTGTTGTCAGTATGGACCGATTATGTCATTAACAATGACTAGGTACAATCTACTACCAGAAAAAGAGTTACGCTACTAACCGCCATTTTTGCTAGTCAGTAATTAGATTATGGAGTTGTAGCAGGTCCTTACGAATGATTGGCACAGAAACATCTGCAACAACCTAAAAACAATGAGTAGGTGTGTAAACCCACTTTAAGCTGGTCATATCGCTTCCCGTATGTGACACTAGGTTTTCCGTTTGCTGCATGTACGTTGAAGTTGGTCGTTGGGATCCGCATGAAGAACGCCAACTCCTCTAATGTTGACAAGGTAGTGAACTTTCACAACCACATCACTGATGCATAAACGATGACTATGTTCGGTGGCCACTGTTGCCGTCGACGCCAACTGTCTGTGAAGTTTACGAAACATTTTTCGTGACTGTATATTTGGAGTTCAAAAATGGCACGGGTTTCCTGCAATTTCCAAAAGAATTTTTGTGCTGGTTATGATACCAGAACCAGTTGAGGTTATCGGTCTCTCGTGATCTAGAAACAGATGGTTTTCGTGACGTACTGCTTCGAAGATTTTGTGTGTAACTACGCTCATGACGAATACTAAAGGAGCGTGTCAGAATGTAACAGAGATCCTTACCTTTGTAGGGCCAGTGAAATTTCACTGAGCTCTTGCCAAATCATCCGGTAGTTGGGTCATTGAATATCGAACAAATCATCAATCCTCGTCGATGTCAAGGACAGCCAACGCGCATCAGTTAATCGCACGCCGTGGACTAGCCCATGCGGCAGAGGTCCTGTAGAATTACGGTCTACTATGATATTAGCGCTGCTCTAATAATAGACCTAATACCAAAATTGTAAATTTGTTATGATGTAACTGTCTAATCTATAAGATCTTACACGGAAGTCACATCATCATCTACACCTTCTCACTGCATTGTAACAATTGCCAATACATGATAGAGAACAATCTTAGGCTAGAGATAGGACAATATATTTAATATGAATAAAAGATATAAGGTAAAATTCAGAAGGGACCACGCCTGCATGGCCAAGCCATGCCATACGATCAACCCCGATTAATTCAATTTCTTATCCCCGCCTTCTCCATTGTTGGGTATTCCTCCGCGTTAAATAATGAATATCTATTTTCCGAGTAGTCTCGAGTTCAGCTTTGAGGATTGTGTAGTTATGATCCGATGCCACTGCAGTCTCACCTTCGTTTGTATCTACTTAACTAATATATTTCTGTAATAACGTCCTCTGTGTTGTACAGTCTTCAAAGCATCTATAGTACCTTGATACGTCAATGGGGTAATCCACGTAAGGTGCAGACCGCGAAGTGTGACTTCGACGTTAGCTAGCTTGTCACACCACTCACGTCTAACTCGAGTAAGCCTCCAATCATTTCGACATAGATCATCTAAGTTGGTGATCTACACCTTCATTACGTGTGATTTGAGCTTTTTATTTGACCGAAAATACCTTAACGTTAGATGCTTTGTTGGTCTCCAGAATTTGATTGACTGTAGTTCACCAGCGTGGATGATCTATGTCGAAATGATTGGAGGCTTACTCGAGTTAGACTGAGTGGTGTGACAAACTAGCTAAAGTCGAAGTCACAATTCGCGATCTGCACCTCACATAGATTACTCCATTGACATATCAAGGTACTATAGATGCTTTGAAGACTGTACAACACAGAGGACGTTATTACAGAAATATATTAGTTAAAGTAGATACAGGCGAAGGTAAGACCAGTGCCGCATGGGCCAGTCCATGGCGTACGATTAACTGATGCGCGTTTTTTGTCCTTGACATTGACGAGGATTCATGATTTTTTTCGATATTCAATGGCTAGGGCTCAGTGGAATTTCACTGGCCCTACAATACTCCCCCACCAGATTCAACGGCCGTTTGAATCGGTACCAAACATGTCGGTAGTCGCGCGCCGGAGATTGCCAAACGATTACTATGAATCCTCTGGGTATTGCCGAGCTGCAAAACAAATGGAAACGAGGCGGCAGAAACTGATCGAGAAACAGCAAGTAATAATATGTTAGTAGAACGTTGGTTGAACGTAAAGCCACTAACCATAGAAATAATAAAAAGAACATAACGTCGCGCTGAAGTATATAGCTTTGACAAGTAATTGAGTTTCTAAGATGAGAAACATTAACTTTGCCGCAAGAGCAATGATACTGTAGCGATAGTAGGATAAGTGTATTATCAATCGATACGGATGTTTATACTGCCGTTGATTTAAAGATGAATGTCAGACAGTGCCGTTGACAACTTCGAGCTATACCTATATTTACCAGACTAACTGTATGTACAGAAGTATAGTCGTGAAGAGTAATCGTGATTTCGTCATGCGAGGCTATTAATCCACCTGTAGTCAGTTTTGAAAGTCGGTGACTGCTGTTACAGTCAGTAAGGGTCGAAGGCTACAAATCCAGAGCGAAGACGGCACTGTGAAGTCTCCAAAAGATGATAAACGACGCTTGCTGATTGTTTGTTCGATTAGCGAATAGAAAAATATCGAAAAGACCATAAGAAACCAAGAGTGTTACTCTGGACTCATGTCAATGATACCAGTGAAAAACGCTGTCAGTGTTGGGATAGAGGCGACAGTGTCGTTTTCAGTGTGCAGGAGATTCGCTCGACTGCACAAAGTGATGATTCGCTCGGATGATAATGTCGTCAGGTCACCAAATGAACTGGACAGGTTTTAAATCGTCGAATAGTTGAGCCTTAACCTGTTGTGGAAGCTTAGAGAAGAAGAGGTCTTTGTCAGAGGTTCGTTGACTACTGACCCCTCGCATACGCAGCAACATTTCTTTTAATAAGCCACTTTGTAGTTCGGTGTCGGAGAAGAAATGGTCTAGCATTTGCCTATTTGTTAGGCTTTCAAAGATATATTCGGAACGTTATCATTATGTTCAGGAGCAGCCCGTCTAAGTTGTCCGGCAGTTGAAGGAAATGAGTAACACGGTGTACCCACGCGTGATCTGATGCAGATGCGTGACCAAGCGCCTTCAGCTAGGGTGTGTCCAGTAAACATATTAGGGTCAGCATCAATATCGAAGATATACGAACAATTTATTTTGAGAATTTATTTACAACTACAAACGCTTGTGTCGCATGTATTTATTTAAAAGGTACATAAGACCTTCAAATATGCTATTTATTTCTCATCGATCGGAAATCGAGACAGAATGTTAAAGAGTCGGATTTAGTGGAGGATATATTGAACTTTCGTGAGCAAATTATTCGTTAGATGTAAGTGTGAAATTTTATTTACACATAAGATACACATGCATTCTCAGCCATTGATATAAACAGATTCAATGTAAATCTGCATAACATTTATTCAGGTTTACAACTTCTTATACCACCTCCGAAATATTTAACGTTTATTATAAACATCCTTTTACGTCTTTTCCAGTTTACAAGCAATCATCATCTATGTCGTGTAGCGCAATTTCACATGAGAAATGTAAAGCGAAAATATTGTGCAAGCACACTCATGGATGAAAAGTCGGAATTTCGCGCTTCTATCCAATGGACGGCAACATGATAACTAAAGTTGGAAAAGTGGTATCATATTCATTAGTGAATAATTCGGATAAGAGCGACAATGAAATGCAACAATTGTTGATGAACACCGAAGTAGTAATTGAGTATTGAAATTCCTTTTGAGGATCTTCAAATGAGTACGTTTGTTTCTGTCTGGATTAGATTTGAAGCCTCATAGTCCACATACAACCCTAGGTTGTGGTATGGATAGTGAAAAATTACTATGAAACTTTCGAAAGTCTCTTACTTTTTCATTGGGCCTTGTTTAGAGAGAGCATAATTTCTTACAGACCAACACGATGTATTAAATAAAGTTTCGTTTTATTGATTTTTTTTCAAACCAACTGTTGACTGCAGATAAATTCAGCTTGTTTACCTTGCAAAATTTCGACAGGTTGGGATTTCCACAAGCTTCAATTCTGTCATTATTTTGACTTGTGTAATACGGTCTTAACTTTTGATAAATATTATTGGGTGTTTCTGCAATAAACTGAAAATAAGTGATCAATAAGGTCATCATCCAAAATCTCATGTATTATCTAGCGCAACTGGGAACTGAAGTGTTCGAGCGAAACATTTAAAATCCATAAAGTTTACCGATGATTGTGGGCAGGTTTACGAATGTCATAGCATGAGTGTTCGTTGTTCCCACCGTAATATATATATATTCAATAGCTTCCGGGTCTAAATAAATAATGATTTCGGTTAATTCCGCATTACGGGACAATAAATTTAAATGATATTCTAAATAGCCAGCCTTGTCTGCATAGTGACTTGAACGTGCCTTTGTAGTTTTACCAAATCTGCTGAACAAATGTTCCTAACTTTCGCAAGCATTCATGAGGTTCGACAATCTATTATCGGTCTTTTCAAAACGGCATGTTTTAATAACTTGAGGAATTTCACTGCACTCACACTTATATGCCAATGGCTTGACACTTTTGCTTGCAGTTGTGGTTTGCTGTTTAAAGTAAGTACAAATTCGTATCTGTCTACTTTGTTTTAGGGAAGTGGGTAGCTCCACTAACCCACGGGACGTTTTCGGCAAATGATTTATATTCGGCGAATCAAAACTCAGTATGTACCTAACTTTTAACATAGGGGTTTTGTGAAGATTTCCATATTTTAACCGTTTCCACCACGAACTAATCCTAGTTAAACCACTATCGAAAACTAAAAATTAATGGAAAGCCGTTTTTCCCTATTCCGGGACTCCTCGATACCGCGGATTCACAACCTCACCTGCGTTCAAACCAAAGATCTTTGGTCTAACTAGTGAAGTTCAACAAGATCTGGTGTAAAACAGTTGTCCATCTCAGACAATGGGAGATGGTCGCTCAATTCCGCGAACGCATTAAGGCTAGATATTGTTGAATAGCGTCCCAGTGGTCTGTATAGCTTGGTGCATGTGACCGAAGGTTCTTGTTTCAGTCTAATGGGGTTGTGGATACCCACTTCCTAGAAGTCCCATGTTAGGACGAAACACCTATCCGGTGCTTCCTGGATTTCAATAGTTGTCTTACTAATATCAGTACGTGATTTAAAGTATCTGAATATCTTGTCACTGAGAAACGTTTTCATCGGAAAACAACAAAACCGCATCATTTTTCAATATCATAATAATGCCTGAGCTTTCTAATTTCATCCTCTTGAATGACAGTCACAGATTGAATCTCTTGGAAACCGTTCTGTCTAAATCAAAATACGTGCTGCAACTCAATCTTTATGTATGTTCTATGTTTCTATCAGTTAACGTCAACTGGGTGTCGTAGACAACATTAGGAGATCTGTAGCTGTTTTTGACTAACATGTTCTCTACCGGCGTGTTACATTGTCTTTGATTTCAACTCTAATGTTGATTATACGAACCTAATAATGTCAACTGATTGGTACCAAAGAGACTCAACGGTTTGTCTGTAAGCACAACACACATATATAAGACTAGAATGTTAATTTTGGATGACAATTTTTCCTGAATACGGGCATGGATGCTGAAATTAAACTGGTTATTAAACAACTATCTAAACTAATGTTTGATTGCATGTTTGAGTACTGTTGGTAGTCAGGTCATGTAATATTACTCAGATTATTAGCTCCTGATGAATCACAAAAAACCAGTAGGAATCGACTTTGTTCTCCGAAAAGCTTTTGGTTTTATATTTACTCTGTTCCTTAGTCCAGGTCTTTTTGTATTTCGTGCTGGTTTCTTTGGGTTAAAAACGCTACCGTACATGCAAAGCATCTACTTGTCATGAGGTTTCGTTACTGCGTGGCTAATTTATCAATTATATTGTGTTCTAGATTAATTAATAGATACTAATTAAGTAACTGAAATATTCTTCATGCTTTTATTTCTCGGTTAAATAGTTTAATTATGCTTTTTCCATAAAAATGCCTAATTTCAGATGAACCTTGGAACCTTTTTAACACAAGTCCAGGTTCGCCTACACAACCAATTTCTAAACGACAGTACCGGCTTGCACACCAGACCTTGTGTATCACCCACATTGACTTCGAGCAACGTTTGATCGTAGGTTTTACTCAGTTAGTGATATGGCCTATCACACCAACCTTGAGGCGTATTCACATAAATTGTCGTCAGTGTCGTATTCATCGCATTTTATTAGAAGCAGCTGATAATGAGTCTGCAGAGTTCGAAAGTGATCGAAAAGGGCGGAGTTCAGGTTGGGGTATTTCAAAAACCAAATTAATTCCATTGCCAACTGATCTCCCTATCCTATATACTGATCCCACCTTAGAAATTTGTGAACGTGATATTAAATTGAGAACTTTGGACAGCTTTGAACGCCGATATACCTCCGTTGTAACTTCTACCGATCCGGATGAAGATGCAGGTGAAGTAACAATTCGATTGCCTTCAGATTTCTGGCCGTTAATTTCTCAAAAATCTCCTTTTGTTATAACCATAGAATTTTCTCTTAATAAACCCAAATCTGGATTTTATTTCGTTGTCCCTGATGGAGAAGGATCGTTAAGTGAACGCGGAGTACATGCATTCACAGCTTTCACACCAAACTGTTCTCGTTTATGGTTTCCTTGTATCGATTGCTCGGAACCATGTACCTGGAAAATTGAAGTGACAGTGTTCGAAGATTTAGTTGCTGTTGCCCCTGGAGAGTTAATAGATGCTCCATACTACACTGAAGATTTAACACACAAGACATACCACTTTTATGTCTCCCAACCAGTATCAGCCCCTTGTATTGGACTGGCTGTTGGGGCTTTTGAGATTTTTCCCGACCCACGACTCTCCAACGGAGCAACACACTTCTGTCCGAATGGACTATTAAACCTTTTACAATACACAATATCTCCTCTCTCCGAAATGATTGAATATTACGAATCTATATTGGCGTCACAGTATCCGTTTTCCACGATCAAATGTGTGTTTGTAGATTGTGCTTTTTCAAAGTGTCAGTCATTCGCTTCTTTGATTATTCTCTCTCTTGATCTACTGCACTCACCAAGAGTTATTGACCAAGCGATTGAAACACGTAAAGTATTATCATTAGCTGTGGCCCATCAGTTCTTCGGGTGTTTCCTTATCATGGAGACGTGGTGTGATGCTTGGCTTACATACGGTCTAGCAGGTTACTTATCTGGTCTGTACCAAAAACGCGTCTTTGGAAACAACGAGTATCGTAAAATTGTTCTTGATGAAATGCACTTTGTAACAGAGTTCGAGAATATGAGATATGGGATTGTACTTGATCCATCAAAATTGACTTCAAAGTTAACCTATTTTGATTTGAGCTCATCCCATGTAAGTAATGTAACCTTCATTTTACGTTCAATTTTTCCTTGTCATGATGTTTTAGTGTCTAATTTTGATTGTTCTGTATGTAAATACAGAAATTACCAGCCCACTACTAACGTTAGATACTTTAATCTCTAAGTACAGTGTATAAAACACTCAAACAAAATTCCCAGAGCGTCTGTTGTTGCTTGGTACCTGTGTGGTTGCGCCACAGGATTGAGCTGCACTATTCAGATTGCAGCGTTAAAGTCTATGCGGTTTATCGCTCTCCTGTTAAACGGGCTTGGGCTGTACTGTTTGGGTTGTCACGTGAAAGTCTGGACGGTGTCTGGTTCTCCTGAAAACCGATGTAAAATTACCCTGGCCCACAAGGGTATATTATATAACTGTAAGCCCCCATATGCCCTGGTACGGCCGAGAGTGGGGAGAGTCCGCTCTCCCTCTCGAAATGCTCTCACATGGCCACGCGTATATAGCCTCTGCCAGGGAAGTCCTACTCACTGCCTTCTCGTGGCGTGGCTGTTGTTTACGGAAATGAGAGGACGAAAAGCGAATGTCCGGCGCTTTGACCGGATCCCAAACCAATGGTGCACATGAGCTCCAGTATCCTGAGGGAACAAATGGCGTATGAACCAATCGTTGATCACCGGCTACCATGGGACTGCATCTCCTAACGGTGCTCCACTGCCTTGTGGGTCAGACGTTCAGGTTGAAGGCTCCGGGTGTGACCCTCTAAGAAAACCACCTGCTTTGGTTTGGGCACCCGGGCAGTTTCACAGCCCTCACACATATCAATTGAGATTCGTGTGGCGCATATGTATTTGGTGCCTCCTTGTACCAATATCTATGTGTTAAAATAAATAAATAAAATGTTGTTGCCCTCAAGAAAAGACAAGCTAATTGCACTACTTTAGATTTCAAGATTCCCATGTATTTATATGAGCGTAGTAACTTTGACTTTGCTCTCAAAATCTTTTTTTATTTTGCATAATATCATTGTTTATCGGTTAAAACACCATAACTTTTAAAGATAGTATTGCTTTTTTGACTCAGATTAACTAACCTCACGGACATTTAATTTTGGTAGTCAGATTAGTATACGTTGAGTTCTTTCTTGATGGACTGTTTGGTATTTTTAATCAAAACGATCTAAATAAAATAGTGGTTTGTAAATGTTTTTATGTATGCTAAATTGAGTTCAATACTATAGTTTCATAAACAACCATTGACATACTTCCGGTTGATCAGATATTAACGTATACTAGTGCATGTTCAATCTCATTTGAAAAAAAATCGTAATGTAAACGCTTAAGTGTTGTTAAAAAGCATTTACAGTCTGAGTATTTTATGAAGAAAACTTATTTCTATTATGTAAGTCTGGTATTGTCATTGAGTTGTTCTTCAAAACAGATACTCAACCATAGTGTGTTAATTGATCACATGAAACCATGTAAAACTACAATGGGAATCCGTCTTCTGAAAATGCTTCACTGCTCTGTGGTTTAGACTTTTGGATTAAGAATTCGGGGGTGGAAGACTTCACAAGAAAACCCCTACTCGAGTTTGGGTGAGTGTGCAGTACCACTATCCTCACGCAATTGATAATTTCGAATGAAGTTAATAAACAACTCATCTTGCACTTTTCAACCGTAGTTATTATAAGTAAATTTGTTCCATGTTACTCTAACTTTCTATTCTAACTGGCTGTAGCTGCCACCTTGACCTAGTGATCGGGCTTAGGTATTGTCTGGATCACGTCCTACCACGCCAGGCAGGACGGTTTGGGAATGGTAAGACTAAAAGCAGCAACTCAAGGTCCGGGAACGAACTAACTATTCATGTCTAGCAACAGCATCCAAAGCGATCCTATCTATTCACAAAGGGAGATCAGAAATAGTCAACTCTAGATATCTCACATCTCACCTTACCTATAGACCCTCGTTACCGTAGTAAAGTATTTTGAAGTGTACAGCTAACGCATCAAAAACTTCGCATAAAATGGCTGTTTGTAAACGGTTTCAAGCAGCTGTCTATTGGGCTCTTTAATCTCTATGATCAACAATGATTCAGATTCTTCTTCAGGTCCCACAAGAGCAAACCTCTGTCCACAACTTGGGCAGCTGAGAAGTGGTAACCGCCCTAATACCTCTATCAGCATCCGAGATCATCTTTTTTACTGTCAACCCCCCTCACCTCTTAATATTTCTCTTATCCTCACGACTAACTCTTCTCATTTATATTTCTCATCACGCGCCACAAATGTTAGTGATTTGAGTTCACGGAATGTTATTCCTGGTCTCCTGCAACCACGCTCTAGACTACGTGTTGGAGCTTTCAATGTCCGAACCTTGTGTCAGATAGGACAACAGACTTCATTAGCTAGCGCTCTAGAATCTCGCGCCATCGATGTATGCTGCGTCTCCAAAACGCGCATACAGGATCCATGTACAGTCATTCTTTTGACCTGACCTTGTCAATGTGAAGAACGGGAATGATTTACCCACTAAATATCTGGAGATCCCACTGCTACTTCATGTAGTCTCTCTAATGTAGGTATAGCACTAAGTTCACACACAGAAGAGGCTCTGTTGAACTGGATTCCGATAGACAGTCACTTCTTCTCTATCCGACTAGACGGGACAGTAAGAACTCGAAACGTTAGAAACATACGCCGTTTTCTTTTGACTGCATATGATGAATTATAAAGAAGACCATCCAACCTTGTAAAAGCTAAATCCCATGATGTCGTAATGATTGTGGATGACTTTCATGACCCAAGTAGGTAGACTAAACAAAACCGGAAGAAACTTGTGAGGGTCATAAGGTATTGCATCTCAGCAAACAGATTATGGGAACGGTTTACTGAAACTATGCTCAGATAACCGTCTATTTCCAACAAACAATAACTCTAAACATAGAGAGCAACATCGTCTAACATGGCTACCCCTACAATCGACTCATCGATGAATTCAAATAGATCACATTGCCAGAAGCTTAAACATAGGCTGATAAAAAGCGTATGTGATGATTGAGAGAAGTGGTATGTAGCGAAGACAGCAGAAGAGATGGAAAATACAGCAGTCAAATGTAACAGAAGACAACTGTTCAGATTTCTCGAGGAAGCGGGCATTAAAAATACAACTGTTAATGAAACTATCTCGGAGAAGGACGGCACTATTACTCACTTCCAATCCATGAAACTAAATCGAAGGGCAGAACACTTTAGGGAACAGTTCAACTGTCCTTCAACCACTCCGCAGTTACCCACTATCTCCAGTCAATCTGAATGGTGGATTGATGTAAGTCCTTCAACTCTTAGTAAGGTTGTGAAGACTATAAGCAATGTAAAGGAAGGGAGAGGAAAAGGAGGATCTGATGAACTAAATCCCGGGATTTTTAGGAATGGTGGTCCAGTTTTAGCAGTTAAATTGACTGCGATCTCAGCTAAAATCTGGGAACCTAGGATGATTCTGTCTGAATAGTCATGATCACTGATCGTCCCAGTCTATATGTGAGGACAAAAATTCTTGTGATAATGAATGAGGACTCAGTTTGACCAGTGTAGTAACTAAAGTATTAGCTTCAATATTAATCCGACGTCTAACTTGAGCTCGTAAAAGGCAAACCTGAAAATAGCATGTTGGTTTGAGACTTAGGTGTGGATGTATAGATCAAATGTTTATCCTTTGACAGGTTCTGTAACATAAACATGCTTCTCGACGTCCAACAGTTGTGGTATTCATTGACCTTACGGTAGCTTTCGACTCCGTCGATTGTGGGATTCTGTAGCAGTGTCTGTCGTTGATAGGCGTGTCAAAGAGTTACATTAACCTAGTACAGACTCTCTACTCGAACACTACTGGTCGATCCATAGCTTATGGCGAACTGTCGTAGTGTTCGTCAGGGTAGTTTGACAGCAATAGCTAGATACGGAAGATAGGCTGGTGTATGATAAAAGCTCGGCATAAATTCAGAAGACCTGCTTGGCTTTTGCCATCCTGTGTCACTTGTGGCGTAGGCGCGATGTCCGTTTACCAACTAATGGAATGGTTTGTTGCGTAACAGTTCGCTCCGCTCTACTTTATGGGTACAGAGCGTGGCCTGTGAACGCTGTTTTTGATATAAGTACTCACTTTCATTCGTTTCGCTTCTCATGACCTATTACAACGATACTGCTAGACAAAACTCAATTTCTTAGTTACTTTCGAAATATCCGGTTTAGTATTACTCTTATCTGTGATATCTTTTCATGATTCTAGTTAAACAACCTATACTGTTGATAACGTCCTTTTACAGTTGTTTTCGTGTATATTCGTGTATCTCGTGGATAGGACAGCGTATTAGTCTTTATATTAGTTTGTTACATAAGACTATCAAAACTAGTTAGCGCGAATTGTTAAAGTAAATCTATAGTAATTTTATCTTAATTTCGCTCTTGGTTCCACCATTATAGCTGATATCACCGGACTATTTATCAGTCTATAAGAAAAAATCTCACTTAGTTATTCGTATGCTGGAATTGCGATTGGGACAACCCGTATTGCTTCAAGTTCTTAACAAGCTGCTTGTACTTGCTCGACTTTCGACTAAATCAATCCTCTCTTCTACAGATCGAAATCAGAGTCTGTCGGTCGGATTAGATGGATGTGGAAGAAACGAAGGTGATTCTGTTTCGGTAACTTCAAATACTCAACTTCAACAAAATCCTACAGTTCCTCCCTGTATGTCAGATGAACATAGAGCCAATATTCTACTATCTACAGCTTCTTTTCGGAGGATTATTTCTATGGTTACAGGTCAAGATATCCGAAATTTCTTAAATCAGTGGGCTTGTCATGCTGGTCATGTCAGAATATTTGCTAAGTTTCATTTCAACCGTAAACGGAATGTTGTAGAATTAGAATTAAAACAGGTAATCATTTTTCTATAAAGTGTAATAATTTTTTTTAATAAAGGGATTGTAAATGTAACTTTCTCTGATATTGGTCAGAGAATTTATAGAATCACAAGTATGGTTAATGTCTGTTTTGGACTTGTCAAAAGCCCTCACTCTTGACTTCTCCAGATTTAAGCATGGAATCTTCGGATTCCGTGACGTTCGAGCTTCTCTATTAGGATCCGTCCATGATATATCAGCTAGTGTTTTTTGTATGTGGCCTAGTAGAGATTGTGATTAGTTTTCATTATTCAATATTTCTTTTCACTTCTGACTACTTTGACCCTATACACAAAGTGTTCGCATTGTACCTAGGTTAGACGTATATCTCCCTAGCATCGTTTCGGGGAACTATGAATAGTAACTTAATTAGTAGGTTACAAGCTTTCATTAGTCGGAAGATGATTTTTATGGTGGCCTCAGATAAAAGTCAGTTAATCATATCGGGTTAGTTGGTGAATCTAGTTAAATCGATTACTACTCAACCAGTTCGGTAGTAACATGTTTACAGTGAAAGAATCTATTGACTAAATAACTAATTATTCGGAGGTATTAATTAATAATTAAATACATACGACTTCCGTTTGCTTCTCTGGTTTATTTTTTGCCTATAACTTCAAGTAGTATAAAAAATTCTAATATCAGCACTAACTAATTATTTTGAACAACAACACTTATTGATAAAAACCTTTTTATAAATGAGCGACTATGTAGAAAAGACTGCAGCATCATGGTCTAATGGATATGCAGTTTATAAAACGTTTTATTGCCAATAGAATAGCATTTTATCACCCTTTCTCCGGATTAGGTCCTTATATCACTTATCAACATCGTGAAGCGTAGCCAAATGTAATTTCTATTACACAACTGACTCAGCTAAGTACATATTCTTTAAACTCTCCACAAACCCTCCTATACTAATAATAGTCATGCGCTCACTAGTAACTGGCATCAAGATGTGACTCCTGGGTATCTAGTGAAAGTTCTGACCAGTGGAGTTCAACTGTGTCGATTGTGGGACAGTTATCCGTTGCAGACAATGGATGGGGGTTGTACAGCATCGCCAATTGATTTAAATTATACATTAATACCGTTGGATATCGGCACAGTTATCCAGAGGTTTGGCGTACCACTAAGGATCCCAACACTAAGACGAAACGGTTGTCCAGTATTTCCAGGATTTTAATAGTGGTCTAACTAATATCAGTTCGTTGCATTAACTATGAAAATGTCCCTTGTAAGTTCAAAGTAGACTCTCTGATACAGACGGTTCACTCTACTTATTTTCATATAGAATTTCAGAACTCATCGATATGGTGTAATCATTTTTTCGAAACTTCCATCAGTGACATATACAGGGTATCATAAAAAAATTTGTTAGTCTTACTGCACTTACAAAACAATTGAAGCCAGTTCCTGAATCGTCGTCTTATTCGCTTCGTAGCGGCCTCTATGGATTTAGCTAGAAAATCTAAACTAATAAAGCTGAACTTATCGGCTTAACGTTCGATTGAGCTGAGACCACTTGTTTGGATTCAGTTTGAAATGAATGACTTACCAACAGCTCCGAAGTGTATATTTCGTGGAAACTGACAGCTGTTTGTGATAATAATCCTAAATATTAAGTTTCTCATTATCAGTACAAGTTTAAGATGTATATTAATTTTGCATTACATATTACTGTTAGGGATTAAACATTTAAAAATTAAATTAAATTTTAGGATCTACAATCCAGAGGGACTCTGAATTATACCGGACCAATTACAGTTATGCTCCAAGAATTGGATGGAGCGTTTATACATACTTTCAAATTAGAAGAAGGCCGTATGTCTCGTGATTTACCATGTCATTCCAAAAGTCGAAAACATCGTAAAAAGAAAATTTCGTTAGCCAATGGCGATGAAGTTGATATGGATTTAGCTCGTATTGATCCAGAATCACCTTTACTCTGGCTTCGAATAGATCCAGACTTAGCTATTATACATGATATTCACGTTGATCAACCAGACTTTATGTGGCATCTTATGTTAGCTCATGATAGGGATTGTCTCGGTCAACTGGAAGCAGTAAATGCTCTCAAAGATTTTGCTTCTCCTGAAACGCGTCATGTTTTAAGTAATATTATTTTAAATGAAAGAATTTTTTATCATGTTAGAATGGAAGCATGCTTTACATTGTGTCATGTTGTGAACGAACTTAGTACTCTCAGTAACAACCCTACAGCAGCTTCGGCTACAGTAACTTCTTGTTTGTTGCCAATGTTCTGGCAGTTGTTTAGTTCACCGGCAGCTCGTGGTTTAATTCGTCAGAATAATTTCTCTAATTTACAACTTTATTTTCTTCAGAGAGCTATGGTCAAAGCTTTGTCAACTTTGCGTGTGCAACAAGTCTGTCCTCATGATATATCGATTTTCATTAGTGATTTATTAAGGCATAATGATAACTCGCGTAATCCGTATTCTGATAGTTATTACCTTGCCGACCTTGTAAAGGCAATGAAAGACACTCTGACACCTGCAATTATTGTTCGGGGAGTAATGTCTGCCTCGACACTACCTTTTGAAGCCCGTACTGTTATCGAAGAAGTTTCTCATTTGTTAAACTTGGAAACAGAAACAATTAGTTATAAAGGTACTGTAACCGTTGTCTGTTTAGCAGCTATAAGACGGCTACAACGACTTGGATTCCTACCCATAGATCCAAGTTTGTTCTACCAATATGCTTTGTCAAACTTTTATTGTGATATCAGAGTAGCAGCAATCGAGGCTATTGTGGATTATATCAGAGGTGAGAGAGATCAGTCAGCATTAGACTGGCTCTTTAGCAACATTATAGAACGAGAAGATTCCAGTGATGCTTCATACGTTCGCCTTCGCTTTGAAGCCGTGCAGTTATTACTACGCATGCCACCATTTCAACGTGGTGAGTCGGGTAGCCGATTAGATACTCCTCAATTAGTTGAAAGACTTTGGACACTGATGAATTATGGATGCACCGGTGATCCACGACTTAGATGTGCAGTCGCTGAACTCTACTACACACTTTACGGTAATCGTCGCCCAACTTGTCTTCCTCTTCCAGAAGGTGTGCTTTTAGTGAGAGTTAAGGAAGGGAGATCTGTACTTAATATATCTGAAAACAATTCTAAAGCTAGTGAAATAGACTATACTGATGAACTGAACAAATATAAGTCTGAATGCTTTGGTAGAGGAATTCCTCTTTCAAAAATGCATCCAGAATATGAAGAATTAGAAGATAATTACTCGGAGTGTGAGATGTTGCACGCAAATACTATGAAGTTAGAAAGAGATTCAATCCAACGCCCCGCAGTTTCAGAATTCAATCCTCAATTTGATTTAAAGCGAAGCAGAACTGGAAATTTCTCAGAATTGAATGATTCGTCGAACACTTTCAAAAGGCGAACTGAACGTCTAAGTGATGATGAAGATGATTAAGGTAAATGTGAGTTAACTGATTTATGAAGTTTTTAGTCTTAATAAGTGCAATAATTTGTTTCTGTCTCGATTAGTTTTTTTACGTGAACTTTGTGTGAAATACGTTATTCAACCGATAAATTATTCACCCATAAACCTAGATTTTGTGTATGATTTCATGGGTGTATTCAATTTATTCATTCTCCTGTCCGTAATAAATGTCCTCACATTATGTCCTTCATATTTCACCCCTTTACTTGTCGCTTTTTCAGATGATAAATAGATCCGACTCACGATAATTCACTAAAGTAAAACTTAAGTCTTAAATAATACAACTGTCATGTTCTTCCTGTATTTCCATCTGTTTTGAAACAGAAAGTTTTGTTGAATTCTAGTCGAAACCAAAATTTACGACCCTAACTCAGTTGAAAATTCTGAAACAATTTACATATACTGGCGCATAAAAATTCGTGTATTTTTACATACTCCATGACTAGTCTATGGAAATGATGTTGGTTACGGGTTACCTGTTATAAATGCAATTTTTCTGGATTGTTTTACCAATCGTCAAACATAAAATAATGTGTTATGTTTCGTATTTCATTACAATCGTTTTGAAAGAAATTAACTTCTTTAGCATCTACATGGATTTTAAAAATAGTATATGCTTACTGAATTCAGTATTGCTTGAAATGAAGAACTTACCCTTGGCTTTAAGTGATTCAAACCTACATGGTAGTTTTTCTATATAAATGTATTATATATATATATATATATATATATATATATATATATATATATATATATATATATATAAATGTATTATATATATATATATTTCTGAGCACGTTATTATTTGCTTCTTTTACCACGTTTTAGAATATTGAACTTTTGGACTGGAGATCTTCGTGTCGTACCTGTTTACTGTTTTTTCTTGTGGATGTAACTAATCATTCATTAGTCTGTAAATATCTGTACATATACATTGAACTTTTTATTTCTAATAGTGAAATGATGCTTATTTGTTTTGATATTACTTAAGAATATGTGCCTGACTTTTAGGTTATTTATTCATTATTTATTTATTTATTTGAACACATAAATATTGGTACAAGGGGGCACCAAATTTATATGCGCCACACAAAACAATGATAATTTGAAGAGAAAGGAGAAAAAAAGAGAGAGAGAACAATAATGGAGGAAACGGAAAGGTACAATCAGAAGAAATCTTTCAGTTAAGGAAGAGGCAACCACTTTTTATGAAGAAAGTAAAAGAAGGTTACAGCAGGATCGCCATTGGCTTCTATTCTGAGCCATATCTGATAACGTCTCTAGCCACTGTGTTACACCGTCTCTCGGACCCCAGCCAGGGAGCCGTGAAGGACCAACAGAAGCCAGCCCTTTGCAGCTTTCTTTCATACCACGACACCATGTCATATGCTGACCACCTCTCCGCTTTTTCCAACCAGTCCCAGAGTCGGCAAATAATGCACGACGAGGAGTTCTCTGGGACGACATTCGTAGAACATGTCCAAGCCACCGAAGTCGGTGTTTCAAAATGGTGACACAAATTGCATTATCGTCTCTGTGCCCGAACACACGATGCCGAACCTCTGCATTACTAACATGGTGTTGCCACTGGATGTTAGCGATCCTTCGGAGACAGCGATGATCGAACACAGAGAAACGTCTAACATCCTCAACTTGGAGAGGCCAGGTTTCACAAGCATAGAGCAAAACTGCTCTCACCGACTCGTTGTCAATCCGACCTTTTACAGCCAGACTAACATCACGAAGGCGCCAAAGATGTCTCAGATTGGCATAAGCCGCTCTGGCTTTCACTATACGTGCATTGATCTCATCACTCACACCACCACCAGCACTTATGTAGCTACCTAGATACACGAACTTCTCGACTACTTCTATCTGCTCACCATCCAGAGTGAGTACAGGATTAGAATCCTGCCAGTCTTGTAGAAGTACTTCGAAAGTGCAAAGCAAATGCCATACCTACGGACACTGATTGCCATTTGCGGATCGGATAGCTTGGGCATTCTCACACAATAAGACAATATCATCCGCATACTCAAAGTCGAGAAGTCTTTCTCCAGGCAACAGATCCACACCACCATTACTTACATCCGTCAGAGCTGTTTCCAGAATGTCATCGATGGCAAAGTTGAAGAGGAATGGTGATATTGGGCAACCCTGCCTAACCCCACTGCTCGGATGGAATAGTGGAGAAAGGTGATTGTATGCCCTCACTCTGCCTGAGGTGTTTGTATATAGGGCTTTTAGGATGTTATTAAACTTCTCAGGCACACCCTTCTTCAATAGACAGTCCCAAAGAACAGTTCTGTCCAACGAATCGAAGGCAGCCCTGATATCAAGAAACACTACGATTGTTGGCCTTTGATAAGTATGGTGGTGTTCTAATATTTGGCGGAGGGTGAAGATATGATCAATACATCCTCGACCGGAACGAAACCCAGCCTGCTCCTCGCGAGTCAATCTTTCTCGGGTTTTGAACAACCTACGAAGTATGACGAAAGCAAACAGCTTGGACGCAATCGGAAGTAGACTTATCCCTCGATAGTTGTTACAGGAACGACGCGAGCCCTCTTTAAAGATAGGGACAACTATCAACTCATTCCATGACGTTGGTACACTCTCTAGTTCCCAGATCTTTGTAAACAACGTCGCCAGTCCCTTAGTCAGAAAGTCACCACTATCTTTAAAAAGAGCCGGAGGTAAGTCATCTGGGCCCGGTGATTTGTAACGTTTCAAGAGTTGGAGTTCCTTGCGGACTTCCGCCTCATTTGGTGGATCAGTCGTCACCGGCCATGGCGGGCAGGACAATCTGACCGATGTTGCCGGAGCAGCAGGTCAGTTGAACTGCCCTTCGAAAAATTCTGTCCATCGTCCAAGACATCGATGGATGTTAGTGATTGGCGTTCCGTCATCCTCGCAGATTGTTTCGCTCAAACCAGACTTCTTGCTGCCAGTGACTTGGAAGAGCTTCCGGCAGTAGCCGGATGCAGCTGCTGCTCCCAGCTCATTAGCACGCTCCGACCACCAGGCTTCTCAGTCCTTACGCAAGCTTTGCCCGATTTCATTACGTAACATCCTTCGTCTGTGGTCAAACTCACGGTCACCTGGAGTAGACCGACGGACTTCAATGAGCTTTAAGGAACCAGAGGAAACCCAGTGCTTATGAGCGGGACGTTTCGCAGACCCACAACAGACTTAACCCGCCATTTTCATGGCGTCATGCAATTGCAACCAATGCTCATCCATACTTTTCGGTGGAATGGTAGCTAGCCTAGAAGCTAGCTCGGTTCGGTACTTACTAGCAACAGAAGTTGCAACCAACTTGGTGACATCAATCCTTTGGTGGCGGTCACTTCGTTGTCCATTGAAAAGTAAGGTAAGATTGTCGCAGACCAGGGAATGATCAGATTCCAGATAGGTACTCCAAAAGGAGCGGCAGTCTAGTACACAACCAAGCCAGCGGTAGCTGATCGCGATGTGATCAATGAGTCCAGGCTTGAGATGCAGAAGGGGGACGCCAGGTGGCACATCGGCGATGACTGTGCCGAAAGTTAGTGCTAGCTAGAAACAGGTTGTGGTCTGTGCATAGTTGTAGTAGACGGTCCCCGTCATTTGTCCTGCGACCAACAAGTCCCCATCGGCCACCTAAACGACTCTCTTCTGTGCCTAGACGCCCGACCTGAGCATTCAAGTCTCCAGCTAGTACTACAATATCTGTCGAACGCACTTTCTGGAGAAGAACAGTTAACTGGTGGTAGAATTCATCCTTGATTGCATCCGGGCTGTAATCTGTCGGGGCATAGGCGGAGACGACGAAAAGATATCGATTCTCACGCCGATATCTTCTCACTTTGATGGTACTTTCTAATCTAACAACACATAACCGACTGTTAATGGGGATCCAGTCGACTAGTGCTGCCTCAGCTCTAGCGCTTAGTGCGACACCAACGCCAGCAAGACCAGACGAAGATGCCACAGTGTCCCCGGATAAACGCACATAAAACAAGCCTTTTGAAGCGACAGATGGAGAGCGAGCTTGTAGTACTTCACCAGAGTCTTGAATACGGGTCTCGGATAGACAACACACATCAATATTAAGACTTTCCAAAGACATAGCCAGTCCTATCTGTTGTCCGACCTGCATAAGTGTGCGAACGTTGAAGGCAGCCAGTCTGAGTCGTGCGCGTGGTTTCAGAAAAACTGCTTCAGTATTCGTATTCGTTGGTAACACAATTTCCAGCAAGGCAGTGACTCGCGAACGTTTAGATAGAGCCGAATGTCCACCATAGGCGAGCTGCTGTATAAGTCGAAAAATAAGGATAGACAGAGTGGAAATAAAAGAGAGTGAATAAATGACGTAGTAAATAATAATAATGTTAATTGTTTGACGATAAATCGCAGAGTGAACAGAGTTTTCAGAGAAGATCATTCTCATCATATTTGTGTGTGGGCTGTGATACTGCCCGAGTGCACAGACCGAAGCAGGTGGTTTTCTTAGGGGGCCACACCCTGAGCCTTCGACCTAAAGGTCTAACCCACAAGACAGTGGAGCATCGTGAGGAGATGCAGTCCGATGGAAGCCGGTGACCAAGAAATCGGTTCATACACCATTTGTTTCCTCAGGATACTGGAGCCCATGTGCACCATTGATTTGAGATCCGGTTAAAGCGGCGGACGTTCGCTTTTCGTCCTCCACGAGAAGGCAGTGAGTAGGACTTCCCTGGAGGAGGCTATATACGCGTGACCGTGTGACTTTTAGGTTAAGATTAAGCATGAGATTATGGATTGATTTAGCATGACGTTCGTTTATTACTTAATAATTCCAAGCATAGATTAGATCAGTACGGTATTTGTGTAAGCTAAGGTTGTTTAAATTTAACTATTCATCAATTACAAGTAAGTTCGCATATAAATGAATACCTTTAGATATCACTGGAAATCTAGTATTTGGGTGTGAAGAAAAATTTAGTCTCTCATTTGAGTGAGTCCATATTTCGCCTGTCTGTTTTACTGAGTAAAAAATTGACTTGATGCTAGTAGTAGGACATACTCAATGTTGTCTGCAGGCTGTGTCTAGTAAGATTACTAGTTAGTAGTAGGAGATGATTTTGTTTAATTATGAATAAATACAGGTTTTAACTGTAATCAATAAACTAGTAGATGGAATTTCTATTTCCGTAAACATCCGTTAGTCATCTACAACGTCTGACCAGGCACATATATACATCAGTCCAAGTTGCCATACCTCATTAGCACAACTATATAAGCACCGAATTCATAGAAGCAGTTACTTTAATAGTGGTAATATATGGAAAAAGATTGCACATAAGGATATAATACAGGAAGAGATGATTAGTTCGTAGGAAAAAAGTCATAAAATAATTTAACTCTCACGATATAAGAGAAGACAAAGAGTGTATACAACTGAGCCATGTCACCAAGTGTCTCTAACTATTGGTTACAGTAGTCACGTGGGACTCAACCACATAGTCTTCGTCTATCAACATGGCTCGGACCGGGAGTTAGTGACTTTGTGGATTGATGCCATATTTGGTTTGGTCGCATCAGCTGAATTTCCATCATTCCCTAATACCTTACACTTCTAACCTCACTAATACTTACTCGGTAATCCCAGCAGATGTGAACAACATTTCTAAGGCGTTTGTGACCAAATATT